TCTTCAGCTCAAGGCTAGCGCTCTACCACTTGAGCCACAGCGCCACTTCTGGCTTTTTTCTTTTTTTTGCTTATGTGGTGCTGAGGAATCGAACCCAGGGCCTCATGCATGCAAGACAAGTGCTCTACCACTGAGCCACCTTCCCAGCCCTCCTTTTTTATTTTTATTTTATTTTGCAGCACTCAGTTTTATTTCTTTTGTGCAGTATTTGGGAGCCTGGGGCTCCCAATTTGAGACTATGATTGTTTTCTCTACCCCTTGAGCCCTACAGTACTTCTGTGCACATTCAGGCTTTTCTTTTCCCTCCCTCTCTCCTGCCCTCTCTCTGTCCCTCTTTCTTTCTTTGTCGGTCGGTCGTGGGGCTTGAACTCTGGGCCTTGGCACTGTCCCTGAACTCTTCAGCTCAAGGTGAGCACTCTCCACTTGGAGCCACAGTGTCACTTCTGGTTTTCTGGTGGTTAACTGGAGATAAGAGTCTCACAGATTTTCCTGCCTAGGCAGGCTTTGAACCGTGATCCTCAGATCTCAACCTCCTGAGTAGTTAGGATTACAGGCCTGAATCACAGGCATCCAGTTTCACTTGGGCCTTTTTTTTTTTTTGTTGGTTGTGGGGCTTGAACTCTTGGCTTGGGTGCTCTCCTTGCGCTCTTCAGCTCAAAGTGAGGGCTCTACCGCTTGAGCCACAGTGCCACTTCTGGTTTTCTAGTGGTTTATTAGAGATAAGAATCTCTCCTGCCTGGGTTGGCTTTGAACTGTGATTCTCAGATCTCAACCTCCTGAGTAGCTAGGATTACAGGTATGAGCCACCTGCGCTTGACAGTTGGGCCTTTCTTACTGAAATGTTTCTCCTTCACTCTTAGGCTTGTCTCTCCCGTCTAGTGAATCCTTAAAACTTGCTACATTTACTAGCTATCTTTGCTGTAGTTTCCCCAATTTTAGTGCTCACCTATTGTAGGTCTCACTGCCTCAAAGTCACTCTTTTTTGATTAAGTCTTTCAAAGTGTCTTTATAATCAGTTACTATTATAGTCTTCAAAGTCATTCTTTTTTGATTAAGACTTCCAAAGCATCTCTATAATGGGCTACTGTTTATATTCTTTATGCCTACAGTCCAGCCCTCCTCCATCCCCAACTAGACAGTAAACTAGATCGTGGGCTTTGAAGTTAGAGGGATCAAAGTTCAAATTACACTTCAGTATTATGCTGGGCTTATTCATAACCTTAAGGCATTAGGGATGCTTAACAGATAAAGTGAGGTAGTATTCACAAAGCATATCCCACTGGGACTTGTATAGATTGCTAGACCCTTTACCAGCAGAAGGGTAAAAAGAGAACCGTTCTGTGAACCCGGCTAGTTTAGTTGAGACCCCAACTTTTAGGCTGCTCGAAGGGGAAAAAATCAAGTTTTCTTTGGTTTGTTTTTTAAACCACCGATTCAAGCTCCTCAACGGTCCCGGGGGGGGGGGGTCCCTGGGCGGAGTTAAGGGTGAAAGTTGGTGAGTTGGAACAACAAAAATTCCTTGTCAAACTTGAAGATGTCGTGCCAGACGGCTTCGTTCTGCTGTCAAACTATATGAGCATTATGAAGCAGAACGTAGGTAGCATCAGAAACTTCAGGGACAGGACTTGCTTGCCAGGTGACGCTTCCACCTTGCCTAGATCCGCACCAAAGTCTCCCGCTACTAGGAGAACAAATCGAAAGACACGCCTCCCTGTCCCCCCACCCTCTGCGCGACCGTTCTTCCCAATCAGGGGGTCTCGCACCCAGAGGCAACTCCTAGACTCACTGCCAAGGCCTTTGGCCTGCTGGAGGAGCTCCTGTTCTCCGTCTAGAGGCTGCTCCAGCTCGGCGGACTCCGCCTCCTTCTCCGATTCCGGGGTCCGCTTGGAAGCGTCTCCCGTGGATTGCTCGCGTCTCTGGGCCTGCTCGTCTTTTGCCTCCGGCTGCGGCAAGCCAAACCAAATACCTAGCCCTCGGAACATCCCGCCCCAGGGGCCCGCACCGCGGCCCCCTCAACGGAAACCCGAGCCGGAGCTGCCAGTTGTTTAACGCTCTCAGGGAGCTGACCGGAAATGGGAAGGTGGCTAAAGCAGCAGCTCCACTGGGGCACACCTCTATGACGTAGTTACTCCAGACCGCGCACGCGCAGTACCCGCTAGAGGGCTCCGCCCCTGTCACGTGGCTCATGACGTAGGTGTTGTGCGCAGGGAACCCGCGTCGTCCAGTCCTGTCTCTTTTCCTACTCCTCTAGGTTGGTAGGGAAAAGACGAATCTTTGCACTAGGATGATCTGAGTAAGCTATTTTTTTTTTAAAATTGCTTCTAAGCAGCTTGGGTAGTGATTTGCCCTTTTTAGTCCGGCTGGGCTGGTCCTGGTGGAAATGGATGTCTTTAGGCCTCTTTCTGGGCCCTAGTCAAAACTAACCCAGAGGGGCTGGGAAGGTGGCTCAGTGGTGGAGCGCTTGCCTTGCATGCATGAGGCCCTGGGTTCGATTCCTCAGCACCACATAAGCAGGAAAAAAAAAGCCGGAAGTGGCACTGTGGCT